AAATGAAGTACGGTTGAACCAAATGGATCACTGGCCAACATGGGTGGACACTCGAGTCACTTGAGAATTACAAGTTGTGACGGAAGTTATGTTAGGTGCAAAAACGTGAAATTAATTTATGTTTCAGCAAATCAAGAAATTGCTTCAACAAATTTCGTATAAAATAAAAAACAATTTATTGTAAAAACAAAAGAGTTTACTTCTGTCCACTTGTATTCAATAAAAAAAAGAGCAATCCATTCAGTAACCTCCTTGTAAATTTATTAGATTTGCTGCATGGTATTGCATATGTGCAATGTTAGGTAACTCTGTTGCTAGAAACACGACAAACATAAAATTTCAAATTTCTCATCTTATAATAGACCATATTAAAAATTTGATTAAAAAGAATTTTTATTCTCACGGAAATTAAATCATACAACGAAGGGTTAAGTTTCTTTTATTCATCTTAAAAAAGTAGGGAACCTCGAAATTACAAAAGTACTTATTGCTTATGACATCGTATGAGCTTTATGCCTAAGTAAAAGCACTATCAATCKCTCTTCCGCTTATGCTGTTCGTTTGCAGACTATAACTACATACATACACACACACATACTACGTGTGTATGTAMTCTATGCCTACGACAGAAACAGTTGACAGATTTATGACTTCCCCAAATAATATTAAAGATTAATACGAAATAGAACAAATGATAATTAGGTTTGCTGACTCTTTAGAGTAGATATTACCCTAAAAACCATTCTACTAACAGGGCAATTAAAAAATGGTAAGTCGTAGCCATAGTAAACCAATTTTTTTTAGCAAAATTCATTATTTTTATTCAACAAAGGTGAGACCTTGATTAGCCCTCCAGATTTTCGATATCATTTTTGTAGCGCGGTTTGTCCTTTGCTACAATGTATGTATGTACGTAGGTCTCAGTTTCTACGATCACCTCTTTATTTGTAGAAAAAGTTTTCTCAGAGGCATTTATTRGCAGATATGGAGAATACCAAGGAATATCAAGGATCTCCTAACTTGAATAATACCAAATTTTGTCATTACAGTTTGTAGCGTGRTCCTTGGATATCTGATATTATTTAACATTCCTTCATTGTACAAGACCGAAATGTGTGGATTTATTGTATTTGAAGCACAAATACTAGTGTACTACGTGTTGAAGGCTATTAAACTTATAGGTGTAAAAGAAATATTTTGTTTTCTACGTAGTAAAGTAGGTCTCATTAAAAATGCTTTATATGCGGGCATCTCTTAGATGTCAGCAACTTTATTATTCAACATAGCAACTTTATCAATATTAAACCATCTTTTCGTAGAGATCGGATATTCATGTGAGAGACAACGCCTTACAAAAACGATTGCTGGGATCAGATGTTGCATTCCTAACAAGATGAAGTACTTTATGTATAAAGTCCTGTAGTACACTAGCACTGTTCAGAAATGTTTGCAAACAAAACAGACGGTGTCTCGGAAGTAGAAAACAGTCTCAATGGGATGCTATTCTTTGGAATACCTAAAAAAAATAGGGCTTATAGTAGCAAGACAATGAACTGAAATGGAAACCCAGAAAGAGAAACAATTCTCTAGTCATCATTGAATACTTTCGCTATACTAAGGTCCCAAATATGTAATAAACGATTTGGCTTATAGTTTGCAAGGAAACATCAGAGAACCTATAAATACAATTATAATAAGWGTATTGTTCTCTAATTTTTTGATACAACGATCTGAATTTTGTACACGTCCTCTTATTCGAGCTGCAGAACTTAATCAAGCAGGTATGATCTTCTATAAGAGTGTACAGCTGCTGGCGTATGMCGATGATATTRATACCATTGAACCTCAACAACCGCGCCGTWAGTTCTGCGTTCTCCCGASAGGAAGCAAAGCAAAAGGGGTCTGAGAAGCAGAGGTAGAGGAAGACCTCCACTTCGATGGAAAGATCAGGTGSARAAAGACCTGGCTACACTTGGAGTCTCCAAATGGCGCCAAATAGYGAGAAGGAATAACRACTGGCGCGCTGTAGTTAGCTCGGCTCTAACCGGGTAAGCGGTGTCTATGCCAATAAAGAAGAAAATATCTAAGCCTTTGTTTTTTTTCCACAATCAAATTCATCGATATCTGCATACATGTATGTATATATGTATATGCACCTGTGGATGTATTTATGTATTCGCCCCCATTCGTTATGTCAACACATGTGGCGTCAGTGCCACAAAGTTGTTGTACTCAACACATTTTTGAATTACTAAAAACCGTTTAAGTGCCAAGTAAATATTTATTTATATGTGCAATGTATGTATGTATATATGTGCGTTGTGGTTGCAACTTGCCAACAAATTGCTCGCTACTACGACATGCAACCGTGTGTATGACTCGTAGATTTTGAACGAATATGAGTGTGCTCAATTTTTCATGCAAACGAGCAGCAGAACACACTTCATATGAGGACACGAATTTTGAGTGATTTTCACTTGCAACCGGCATACTAGCCATACATTTACATATTTATTGTMGTCGTGTTAATTTAGTTTATTTATGCGCCKTCATTTTGAATTRTACACTGTTTCTTTTAAGGAGCTTGTGTGTTATATAATGAATTACGCTTATGTTGCACAATACATTTTATGCAGTGCGAATTTGAGCCGATTGCTTATCAATGATTTATAGCAAGTTATGTATCTTGATTTTTGCATTTCTTTTCGCCTTCGGACACATAATACACAGAACAAATACGCTTTTGCTGCTGCCGCAATATAAATATTACATTTTTCCACTAATTTGCTTGACAAATGCGACAACATTTATTGCTGATTTTATTTCTGTACTTCGCTGCTGCCACTTCACTGCCACACGCGACTGCAATTCGCCAACTGAAAATGGCTCACTTCAGCAATTTGTAGCAGCTCCACCATATGCTGCGCTGCGCCACTGCCGCAATAGATAAATACAAGAGCAGCACATCAGTCAATTTGTTGTTCTTAATCACATACACAAACACACACACACACATACATACAAACAAATGCTCGCTTAGATAGCTTTTTGGTTATTTTATTTATGCTGTTACTTCATCGGCTCCAACAGTAATGTGTTTGTGTGTTTGCGCGCGCGTTTGTGTTGCCAAATGGCTTTGCGCCACTTTCGACGACTTCATCATCTTCTACGTGTGCTCTGTTAACGCGGCAACTAATTCCCGCGTGCGCTCATAAAAAACCAAAACATAAAAACATACACAAAAACTATATACATATAAGTATGTATATATATCCGAAAAGGGTGTTTTTTCAGAAATGTGGTCTTCAAGAGAAAACCAAACRCATATAATTCAATGTTATGACCAAAAATGCTTTATTATGAAGATAAGGGTTTGCTGTTGTTTAAAACTTRCTTCAGTCAAGTAACCGCCACCGGTTCGACTGAATTCTACCCTAGAGACCCAATTTTCGATCATTTTTTACAGCGATTGGAGCCGTGRGTAAGCAATAACGCGCTGAATATTCTCTTCCAAAGCGACAATCGCACAAAAAAATAATCCAACTTTGTTAAATGGTTCGAATAAATTCTAGCCTAGAGACCAATGCGACGCGTTCCGAGCATTTTTCAAGCCTTCTTGCTATAAGTCAGTGTGCACCCATCGCAACCAGCATATCGCTACACTTAGCGATAGTCAAGCGGYAGTAAAGATGATCTCAGCGTATGAGGTTAAATCGCTTTTAGTGGAAGAGCGTATAGGAAGACTGAATCGAGTAWCAGTTTTCAACATATGTATCTAATCTGGGTGCTGGGCATAAAGAGGTAGCCGACAATAAAAGCTGGTCAAAGAAGTAACCGGCTCTGTGGTACCGTCCAGGATTATGGGGCCAGAACTATACATTGTGGTGGGGTTCCACACTATACTTGTCGCGCCCTGTACAGGGCACTTCATGGTCTCTTGGGCAAACTACCAATTTGGCAACATGGAACAGGAAACTCCAGAATACCTGATTCTGGATTGCGCCAAAATTTGCAGAAGCAGACTCTATACCCTAGGTTCCATACGCGAGGACAAGGATCACATCACCTCAGTCGCAGGCTACTGGAATTGTTCAGAATGCTGAACCTTTATGACCATATGTGATAAAGTAGAGGGCACAATATACCACAGGTCGCAATGCAAAGCTTTCATTATTAAATCTATCTACTTATCATCACTCCCAATGCCTTTTATTTGTTTATTACGGTATCTAAAAAAAAGTGAGCCTCATGGTTGAACAAAATTTTATTGTGAAAATCGGAGTCTGTGGCAACGCCGTTTTGGACTCATTCACAGAAAGTGGGRCATGTTTGATAATATTTTAAGACCTCAAACTAAAATCCTTCCGCAAAATCTTCCAAAAAGTGTATGGGTCAATCTCCAATTATTGCGCGCGATGGCGAATAGATGGGTCTACTTGGATTCATTCGGTTCTTCTTCGATACTCTGCCCCACAGCAGCAATAGCTTATTCGGTAAATACGACATTGGTATTGCACCATTGAAAATCACAAATCTTAAAAAAAAACACCCATTATACATGTATTCAAACATCTTTACAAAAACACCGCGTTCCGCCACAACATTTCCACATTTCTCTTCTATCTATTTATGCAATACCGTTGCGCCATCTCGCGCTCTTCTAGCGTCCAAACACAATTTCGGCGTTCCATTATTATGCTTGCTTCGAGCTATTCTTGTGCTTTCGCCTGACTAATTTGGCTGAACACAACACGCAAGGGCCAATGGTTTGCCTTTTGGGATAGGTCCATCAATTTGTTTACTCGCAAATGCTTGGCTGAAAGCTAGCTACTAGCTGCTGCCGYTGGCAATTCAAAGCACATTGTAGTATGCATAAAACATTTGTATAAATATAAGTTTGTATGGAATATGTGTTGGTGTGTGTGTGTGTGTGTGCGTATATACTTCATTGTTGCTTATTTTCGTTAGATTCCAAGTGCATACAATGTTGCGTAGAATTCTCAACAGCATGCGGTGAATGAACGCGAGCATATGTAACCACAGCTATAYATTATTTTTCTTTGGCACAGTAGATAAGAAAAGTTTTCAGACAAAAATTATACATATGTATATATGTACTTGGTTTGCAAACACACGCTGATGTTATCAATTTTAGTTTAAGTTTGAAAAAATAAAAGAAAAATTTTTTTGGCTCACAAAACGCCTAAATTCAAAATGGGGTTAAGTAAATGCAAAGAGTACGTAAGTAAGTAAGTAGACTCCTTCTAGCTAGACATTATTTAACCAGCAATTTTTCAACTAACTAGCCTCCTCATTCGACTCGAATTACTGTCTTGCACACAAAAAGTTCGAGAATATCTCCACTCAGCTCTTTATATTCTCTATGAAAGCATCTAATACCCCTCTGCATATGGTCCGACAACTTTGAAACAGGGTTTTTCCCGCTCGTGCTGTCAGATAACTTTGACGCTAATTAACTGCCTCCATGCCACCCAAGCAGAATCTGCACAATTGTTATATTCACTCAACTTTCTATCGACGACTGACTTTTTCATCGTTAGAAACAAAAAGAAATTGCCGAATCTGAAAGTAATTCGCCAATTGGKACCGTTTCTTCTGCAATCCGATGTCTGGTTGGGCCAATAATTCGATAGAGAACAGCCTTGTAGCTCTTCTTCTCTACATCAAATATCTGATGATCTCATCTTATAAATAGTGGTTAACACCATTCCCACTTAAACGACAGATTTAAACTGCTTCACCGGGTGAAGTACGCTGTATCACCAAAGACTGCTATGCAGAGGTGTCATACACAGAAAACTTTATCATATCGAAAAATTCACGCAAGATAAGTCTTTTGGGATAATTACTACCCCAGCTAATTCACACACTTTTGATCAACGGTCTACCAAAATGAGATAATGGACTATTGTCATGTTATCCTGCTTGTGGCCGTTTTTGGAGCACATAAGAGTGGCTCATCTAAAAGCGACCAGCTTGAAACTTGTTAAATAAATTTTTGAAGTGAAGCAAAGAAGTCACATAATGAAGCACAGAAGCGCTCTATGATTACAGCACGCAGGTTTTCAAAACAAACATCGATCCGTCGAGCGATGCGTTGTCGCTTGGGCAGATCGAGCAGCTACAGTTCTTGCACAACCTGCATTTTGTATGCTTTCAGTTTAAGATCTAAACATAAAATGCGTAAAGTCGTTCCATTCGTCCGAGTTGCTGCGAACGACGTCGAATCSACTMTCAAGATTATCGTGWACACTCTCAGCTTCGACTGCAATAYTTTCTTCGTMCTGGRYGTGGTCTAATATTATCTAATAATGAATGCTGACTCTCAAGATGGKTGATGGTTTTGCGAAATATATAATATGATCATCAGGCCGATTATATTGACCACAAGTTGAGCGAAGCGCACGAARCCCYTTTTTTCTAGAATGTATATTTTCGTAATAAAGTTGAACGTTTTGTAAACGTTGTTCAGGCGTAAATCTTTCCMTGTTGAAATKCCAAAAAATACTGAACAAAAATAACATGACATCTTGACATGACTCACACGTGATCAGTCAAAACAAAGGCTATAGAGAGTAGTTCTACTGGATCACCCGTTAATATTATATATATGGATTTTGTGATACTGTAATTATACGATTTTATTTTACGGAAACGAATTATGTTATATATAGTATATTTCAAACTGATAAGACAAATTAAATATTTTCAAAATTTGCTCTCTTAAAGTAACTGCTATCAACTTTTTAGACAGATTTCTTACTTGCAATATATTTATTAAGATGAGTTGATAAGATTGATTTATAACCCAAACAAATCAGTTAATATTAATAATATAATTTATATAAACGGTTAATGTATAAAAAGTCTGTTTATTTACGTAAATAAGTACATATATTCCACATATTATATATAAGTATAGTATATATATATAGGTTGAAGAACTTTTCCTGAAATCATGTAGCTTCTTCAACATACAAAAGTGAGAAGAACGCATAAGTAAAGTATTTGAATAAAGGACATCTAACTCCGTTCTCCAATATTGCCTTCCCTGCCAAAGAAGAGTGGGAAAGAAGCGAGGTAGAAGGACGTAGAGCTAAGCATATATATGGCTCCAAACTAAAAAACAGTGTGGGAGAAGATATCTTCTCTGCTTAACTAGATACGAAAATCTCCTTCTTTCTACAAGACCACTGCACTAGTTCCAAGCGGAGATCACAGCAATTAARGAAAGACTTCTTGTTCTGACAAGGAGTGTGCTCACAACAAGGAATATACAGATATATATATACAGACATACAGGTAAACATGCGGCTTTGAGATTACTAAAGTCTATTAAGGTTTTGTATAACTTAGTGTCATATTTCACGATAAACCTGCATTCCAGGACATAGTGATATCCCAAGGAACTTTGAAGCGGATGAACTAGTCAGAACGGACACCATCCTATAATTAAAGTTAAGAAAAAAGATAACTTTCTTCCTTCTGACAACTTGAAGATATTTTATAGACAAATATGTTAAAAGTTTAGCTGAGTCTCGGTGGAGTAAGTCCGACAGTACGTATGAATGATATATATGGCGCACATGCGAACTATGAAAATTTCAAAGGAATGGCATACTCTAAGAACTCTAGTAGGGAGTAGCAGATCACTGTGAAAAATGCAGACATACCAATAAGCTAGAAACACCTTATACCGACTGTTGTAGAAGAAAAGAAAACTGCCAAACATCATCTATGAGATTGTAATATTTTATATAGGAAAATATTCGCAACTATTGGTCGAGGGTTTCTAGACGACGTCTCGGAGGAGCGTCATCAAMAGGACGGGATGGTTCCAAGAAGAGCCAATAGATTGAGGAGACTTCAGTTCCGTTGGTAACACAATGGGCCTTCTGAACACTTAGGTGCGTCATGAGACAGCCACTTTACCTACCTAACTAACATAAGGCGTGCCTTGTAAGCATACACTTACATATATCGAGACAATGTTCAAACACATACATATCTACAAGTCAGCTCAATCAGAGATTGGAAGTTTTCCAGGCTTAGCGGATATGTAACTATCATGCGTGTCCTTCGCCAGTTACCAGTCGATATGCTCGTACCAGTCATCGGAAATTGGATTAAAYGGATGGAAGATGTGAGACGTAGCCACGACCCACATTTGAAAKWGATAAACTTCAAAAAAATAAATGTYAAAAAAATTCTTWCGAATGATAACAAACGTTCTCCACTAAGTTTGAACTTTCTGTGGGGATGGATCACCCTTTATATAGTTATATACATATACATATATAAATGWTGATGATGAAAAGATGAGTTCAAATTCGGGTTACTGCATGTCTGTCCAGCCGCCTGTGCAAGCTGTAACGAGAGTACAAATTAAGATATCTTGATAATACTTGGTACACATTTTCCTTGGCTAAAAGTAAGGTGGAGCTCTTAGATGGGCGTAAACGGATCACTGGCACAGCCACAAAGGCCACAAAAGACCAAACTCTATAAGTCAGTCATTATTCCCGTCCTGCTATATGGTGCAGAGACATGGACGGATGACAACATCTGATGAGTCARCGTTAAAAGTTTAAGAGAGAAAGGTTCGCATTGGCCACGACCCAYATCCCATTTTATGAAACGATGAGCTGTATGAGACATACGATGACATTGACATATGTAGATCAGCGAATTAAAAGACACTGTCTAGGTCATGTCGTCCAAATGGACAAAAACAYTCCAGCTCTAAAATTATTCAATGCAGAACCCGCCAGAGGAAACAGACGAAGAGGAAGACCGCAACTCCGTTGGATATACCACTCGGAGAAGGACCTGGCTTCGATTGGAATTTCCAATTAGCGCCACCTTGCGAAAAGGAAAAACGACTGCCGCGCTATTGTTAACTCGGCTATAACCATGTAAGCGGTGTTTAAGCCAATAAAGAAGACGAAGAATAATATGAGTCTTTACCGTAATGAACTGTAAAAAACAGAAGTGGCAGTTAATTAACATCATAGATTTCATTAATTCTTACTTCACTAGTACAACATATTCTTAAACAGCAACGCTAATATTTTGTTTACGAAATTGCCTTATCTAACATAATTTCCAAGAAATCGCAATTACATTTATTTGGCATTTTGTTTTTTGTATGTAAAAAAAAAGAAATCAGTGCACCCGGCACACATTTGCCGAATAATAAATACTCCATCGCAATCTGAAAAAATTACAAAAAATATTTTGTTGATAGCAAACGACACTAGGGTAGCCATTATGAGTCACAAGACTGTAAAACCGCAAAAGTAAGTGAGAGCGTCGCTCCGCCGTTGACAACAACATACAAGTATTAATAGTCTTTTAATTCATTATTGTTTATTGGCCCAAAGAGCCGTACCGCTCAAAAGCCCGTCACCATGTCACTTGGATTAAATATTTAACGCTTACCAACTGACGTGACCAGTGGTGGTTATCAACAAAAGCAACAGCAACCAAACTCATGGTTCAGCAAGAAAATGCCTCAGAATCAACTGTTGGCGGGCGTCTACAAGCAATACGAGCAAGCAAAGATAACCCTAAGGCGTGAATACATACATATGTACAAGTAGTACAAGTGTAACTAGGCGAAGCTCCGAGTCAGTTGGAACTCGCGCATTTAGTCAAGCCGACAATTGCCGGCAGCGCTGATAAGAAGCCTCCATGCGCGTTGAGATATTTATACAACAGTTTTTGCAACAACATAACAAAGGTTAATATAAACAAACTGCAAATTATCTGTTATGTTCGTTTTTGTAGTACAACAAATTAGTTTAATAACATATGTACATAATTTATTATTTAAAGACATATTAACACGAAACTTAAAGAATACAGCATCAAATTGTTGTATATTATTTTTAAGGCGCAGTAAATCATTTGGGTAGTGGCTCAGTCGCTCGCTCCCAAGTTGTTTAACACATCTCGGTGAAAACCTAGTCATCTTCCTCGCTTTCTTCAGATTCGGCCTTAGGAATTCCTTGTTTACYATTTGGGCGCTCGTTCGAAATTTGTTGGGAATCGTCTGCACTATCAGCTACTGCATCATTTTCTTCACTTGTGTTGTCTTCTGCACTTTGTTTGGAACTCTCTCCTGATCCTTTTGCGATTTYAGTTTGCTCTACACTCTCTAATGATCGTTTACGTCTGTCTTCAATATAGGTCGTTTCGTTGGCTTCATCCGAATTCGCATCCATTACTTCACATCCCTGCACGTAATCTTCTAATGAGGAATCCTTTTCTAATTCCAATACTTCATTGGACTCTCTGTTTTCTTCGGAGTTCAAACTGAAGTTCAGCACGTCGTTCAAATCTTCATTACTCTTAGGTTCAATTTTCTTGTCTCCTTTTCGTTTTAAACGCCGAATGTCCAGCTTGTTTGCTCCACTAACTTTTGCTTTAGCTTTTTCTTTGGATGAATCTTCTTYTGATGAGCTGTCGTCAGTTTTTCGTTTCCTACGATCTCCGTCTGAACCTCTGGCGCCTTTACCACCACTTTCACCCGGTGCACCTTTTTTGCCTTTTTCCTCGGATGAATCTTCTTCTGATGAACTATCGTCAGTTTTGCGTTTTCGACGCGCTCCATCTGATCCTATTGGACCATGGCCGTCGCCCGCACCTGGCTTAACTTTCTCCTCGGATGAATCTTCTTCTGATGAAATGAAATTTTTGGTCGATTCTTCTTCTGCTGAAACGGTGTMTGTAGTCGATTCCTCTTCTGATGAATTTTTAGTCGAATCTGCTACAGAAAAGCTATCATCAACTTCGCGTTTTCGACGAGCGCCTTCAGAACCTTTGATACCTGCACTCGATGCACCTTCTTTCCCCTTCTCCTCGGATGAATCTTCTTCTGATGAGCTATCATCAGCTTTGCGTTTCCTACGAGCTCCGTCTGAACCTTTAGCTCCTTCGCTACCGTTGACACCTGGTGCACCTGCTTTACCTTTCTCCTCGGATGAATCTTCTTCTGAAGAACTATCGTCAGTTTTGCGTTTTCGACGCGCTCCATCTGATCCCTTTTCTCCGTCRCCACCGCTAGCACCCGGTGCACCTTTTTTACCTTTTTCCTCGGAAGAGTCCTCTTCTGATGAACTATCGTCAGTTTTGCGTTTTCGACGCGCTCCATCTGATCCTATTGGACCATGGCCATCACTCGCACCTGGCTTGACTTTTTCCTCGGATGAATCTTCTTCTGATAAAATAGAATTTGTGACCGATTCCTCTTCTGATGAAATAGTATTTGTAGTCGATTCTTCTTCTAATGAATCTATAGACGAATCTTCTTCTGATGAACTATGATCGGTTTTTCGTTTCCTACGAGCTCYGTCTGCGCCTTTAGCTCCTTCGGTATCACTCGCGCCACTTGCACCTGGCCTACCTTTCTCCTCAGATGAATCTTCTTCAGATGAACTATCGTCAGATTTTCGCTTTCTGCGCGCTCCGTCTGAACTTTTAGCGATTTGCTCGCTTTTTGCGGGCCCTCCTGACTTGGCCTTCTCTTCGGATGAATCCTCCTCAGATGTACTATCGGCAGCTTTGCGTTTTCTACGTAATTCCGATGCTAAMACATCACTGACTGCCAACTCGGAGGAATCCTCTTGTGATGAGCCTTTCTTGTCAATTTGCTGACGCTTCCTTCGAAGTTCACTATTATAAGATTTTTCAAGTTGATAATAACGCTCGTAAGCATCTTCACTAACAAATTCGTTACTATCTTTATTGTGTTTGTGGTGTTTGCACAAGTCTACGTCGGGTATTGAGTCAGCGGAACGCTTTTCAAGTAACTTCGTATCTTCYAGTGTCTCGTCCGATYCTGCRTCATTCGCGTCAACTTCTTCAACTGAAAGAGAAGTGGAGTCGTCCTTATCCTTGACAGGCAGCGGTACCGCAGTGTTTAACGCGACCGCCAACAGCAGCAACGCCACCGACGGAAGTAAGCGCATCTCGAATACACTCTTCAACAGGCAATTTTATTGTCAAACCAAATCCTTTACGACTTAATTCAAGTGATTTGAAATGTTGTTCGGGTTACTCGATAAATTATTGGATTTGTTCTTGTCGCAAAACCGTTTCGTTGCAAGCGCGTTTTTGCACTGATTGCAATGCTTTTGTGTCAGTCTAATTAAGGCTATCAGTTCGGACAGCAATCAGTAGCAGCGCTCATACTGGCGACTTAATCAGTGCTTTAGTTTYACAGTCTGGCAAATAAAAAGCTTTTCATATGCTTACAAGTGCAAGTGTAGTTGCTTTTTAAATTTTTGTCGGACGTCAAGCTTGTCATACTCAACTGACAACGTTCTGTTAGTTTCTGATGAATTAATTCCCACAGAGGACGTAGTGATAAGAAACAATCTTTTGGTTTGGTTGTTTTTGTCATGGTGCGTAAACTGAAGATAAACCACTTACGATATAATAAAGTTTGCTCTCTACCAAGGGAAGGAAGYGTAACATGCGTGGTCGAAATGGAATGAAAAGTACGTATGTATGTGTAGATATTATGAGATATCTATAATAATTATTTTCATGAGATCATATAAAATAAACATTTGTCCCTAGTAGATATTTGCTAATAAATCTCAAACTTAATTCGGTTCATCACTCAGTATACAACAATTATAATCTTACTGTAGCCAAATTATCTACTAAATAGATTAAAGACAATAAAGAAAGTGTATTTATGCAAAATAATACACCAGATAAGCTTCTGAATTCTGGAATAAGCAGCTATGTGATGATTTAATTCTCAACAGTGTTCTTAATTACTAACGAGTCAACAATTCTTTCACCAACGAGTTTTTGTTTAAAATAATCAGACCGAAAATTGAGACATCGTTTCGAGGAAATTGCTTCAACAATAAAGTAACCATTACCGAAATGTTCCCGAATTTTAAGAGAACCAAAAAACTATTCTGGACCATCAGACTATACATACTCCTGGGATCCTAAAAACACAAAAATACATTAACCAWAACTTATATTACACTCATGGAATACAGAGAGTTCCCTAAAAGTGCTAAAGGTACGGATATATATATATAAGATTAGACAGCAGTTAATAACGCTTAAGTCGAATTTAGCTTTGATCTTTCAAAACGAAAGCTCTAAATATTTCGAAACCACTGATTGATTTCTTTGCCGCAACGGATTTAACTATCTATAATACGTTTTAGGCATGGATTTATTTTAACAACTCGCAGTTATAGCCACTTAAGAAGAAGAAAAAAAAGATTTATGATCAACTTATCTTTAAAGCATTCAGATCATACCAGCTATATAAGTAAARAGAAATTTCACAATCAAAATAATTGTTCACAAAAAGATCCTTATCTCTCAGCAGCTATACCATGCTAGCCCATCCATACCTTTTACATACATATCTTTCTAAGCGCAATGTATAACTTTATCCGACAAATCAAGAATTATATAATATAAGGAATTCTTGAAGAAGTCAGAAATAGGCACCTACATAAATGGTTAGGCATTAGCTGCTGAACCGAGGAATAATATGAGATAAGGGGTGAGTAGGGTAATCTGGTCTCTTTTTTGGCATTTTTGTTTCATATAAATGTTAATTGTACAATAGAACTTTTTTCACATTACCGTGGAAAGGATAAACAAATTTTTTGGAAATTTTTTGATTACATCTGTCGGATAAATGGCTGGGTGAATGAGGTGCGTTCTTTTACTTGCGGCGACGATTTCTCATGTTTGGATCAGCTGAAACATAAAAACCCTCTTTATCCTTAAAAAGTACATGAACGGTTATCGTCTCCACTAGAATTATGAAAAAATGTTGATAAATAAAAAATAATTAAACGTTTTTTTTTTGTTTTTTTTTTTTTTGTTTTAATTTTTCCCCACGTGTTTTACATAAGCTTTGTCATTACATTGTCAATAAAATATAAAAACAAGAAAAAACGTTAACTTCGCTTGCACCGAAGCTAAATACCCTTCACAGGTGCATTTATGTTAGTAACTATATGTTCAGTTTGTATGACAGCTATATGTTATAGTTAACCGATCTGAACAATTTCTTCGATGATTACATTGTTGCCTTAGAAAGTTATCTATACCAAATATCGTGAATATGTCTTGTCAAATGTGAAAGTTTTCCGTACAAGAACTTGATTCCGATCGTTCAGTTTATATGGCAGCTATATCTTAAAAACTGAGGGACTAGTTCGTATATATACAGACAGACGGACAGACAGACCGACGGACATGGCTAAATCGAATCAGCTCAACATACTGATCATTTATATATAYACTATATAGGGTCTCCGATGCTTTCTTCTGGGTGTTAYAAACTTCGTGACAAAATTAATATACCCTGTTCAAGGTATAAATATAGAGACCATAGCTAGGCGTCACATTTAAAAAAAATTAAGCAAATCGGTTGAGTAGTTCGACCGGAATTATGTCCGTCAGTTTAAAGAGTGTTTTGAGAAAAACGCGAACCTCGATTAATTCTAAGGGTAGATATAAGAGAACAGAAAGTGTAAAAAATCGTCTTATTGTAAACAAAACGGAAAAATATGAGCGCAAGCAGATTTGGTAATCGTAAATTTTCTTTTATAGTTCGAGATTAGAGAACAAAAAGAAATATTAATCATCGGAAATCGSTTTATTGTTTTTCAAAATACACTTTTKCATGCGTTTGAACCAATTATCAAAGCACTTTTGCCAGTATTAATAAGATATCTCCAAAACATGCATTCAGAACGTTCCACCGACTCTACAGGCGTCGAAAACTTTAAGTCATTCGCTTTGAAAGCAAAACTTCACGGTGAAATCAATCTTGCAAGTGATCAAAAATGAAGTTRCTTCAGTCGATGTGTAAGAGGTCGTATTTTTGTGGTAAAGAATGATCTKTTTTCAGCCTATGTTTTTMTGATTTCTTGAAAGACAACAAATGTTGGTTTACCAAATTTACTGTCCTGCATTGTTCTTGTTGTGACATTTTTAGTTTTTCCAAAAAAAGCAGGCAAAGGTTTGCTTCAAAGTGCTTCATGAGTGAACATTTTGTTTTGGTTTCGGCTCATCTAAACAGTCGATCTCGTTTATTTTCGTGTTCATATGTACAATTCTTCTCGATCAATCGAAACGAGCCTTTTTGAATGATCTACACATTGTGTGGTTTAATTTTTTTTTTTTTTTTTGCATTAATGTGTAGAGTTTTATCAATCTCAAGATATGGTATCTCACACATCGGGCACAGCCCGATAGTTTTCGTAATAACAACTAATTTCTAATTATGGAAGACTTTCACAAATTTTGTCTTGGAGTGATTTACGACCTCATTTGAATTCATTATACCATRGATAAGCATTGGTTCTTGATGGTCCTTCATCGCCATTGATTTAAGTTAATACATGAATTCACTGTTGCCGAATTAATCCACGTCGAAATGTGTAAAARATTGTGGTGAGAAAATGTTCGTRATTTAATTCCATTTTTAGCTGAGACGAATGCTTCAAGTAACTGTAAACAATACAAATAGCGCTCGTATGTCAAAACATCCTAGTTCAGGCTTTACGAGAAAGTTGTGAGTTGCTAGATTGCAAAAATAGGGTTGTCAAATCCCGAAGCATAAAAGCTAACTGCTCTCTCTGGGAACAGAATTTATCGCTTCAGAAATCTTTCGCAAAAGTGACATACATACATACATATATATACATGTGTGCATAATATATTGGTTTTAAGTAATTTAGAACTATTCGCATATAATACTTAACTTTTAAAAACTTGGTTTTATAAAAGACTTTATATGTCATTGCCCAAATTCAATTAGAAGCTTACTAATACCCAACATAACACCAGGATCTAGCTATTTGATCATTTCACAAAAATTAGCGCGAATAGTAAACAAGCTTTTACAATTTTTAATCAATAATATTTGAGTAATATTTATTTTCAGCGATTATTATAATTACATTTTGAACTACATAGGGGAAGAGATCAAATGATTAGCGCATAACTGCAGTAAATATGCGAAAATGGCAACGGCAACTTAAATTCGCACATATTTTAATTAATATGAATTTATTACATGTATAAGTATGTTTATTAGAAAATCAAATACAATTCGATGATGATAAGAATTTTATATTTTATAAAAAATAGGACGCAATTAAATGCTAGGAATTCAATATGAGTAAAGCATTTATTTAGGAAGTATTTATAAACAAAGAATACGAGTATGTATATAAAGTGACATGTRTCTAATCAAAATGGATTTATTAAGTCATAAGAGACTTGCATGAAAGCTCACAAAAAATGTCAGAAYAATATAGACAAAACTGCAATTAACTGCACTAAGCTGTAAAAAAGATCACATTTCAAGCGAGAGCCACATGTGGCAAATCCATTAATACAACATAGAACCGCAGTTCGTTATRATGCATTTATGTACATAAGTATGTATATGAGGCGTGTCGAGAATATATCGGGAATTTTAGAAATTCTTGTTTTAAACAAAAGCCGCCAAGTTCATAAAAATAAACCGATGAAGTAAGAAATAAATACTGCTGCAAATTTTGTAATACTACGGCGGAATGTATATCAGTATGATAAAAAAAATTTACCATTTGACTCTCCAAAATCGCGAAATTTCAAAAAGTTTTTAAACACACCTCTTATATATAAATACACAGGTATGATATCTAATGAAATAGGGTAATGAATTGGGGTCATCCTGGAATTAGGTTAAAAGTGCTCGGGATATTTCTTACTTTCCACTCCAATTAGTTACACTTTGGACAACGCAGAAGAGTCCAAAACAACCAAAATAGGTAAGTAGGCACCATGACTGATTAGACTATATAATATAACTCTCACAGAGATGAGAACATTGCGACATCACATTCGCATAACAATGAGGTTTTATGAGATGTGATTGTTCACAGCCTGATATTAGACCTGGCTAGATAATTTTTGAAAAWCAGCAAAGCAACTACGAAATATTTGGTAGATGACATAAAAACAGCTTTGAACCGCTTAACGATTTTTACAACATTTTTGGAGATAATTTGATATTGTAATGTACATAYTATAGATACATTTTATACAACCAAAGAGTGGACAAATATGTATAAAAAAATTTGGCATTTCAAAAAA